TTTCCTTCTGAACTTCTCGTTCTCCAGTTGTAAATGTTCAAAACGCTGCACATTATACAACCTTTCTGCATCTTACTGGAATAGCATTTTAAATAGGTAATACTATGTTTCTGGAAGGACAGGAGATGTTTTGTTACTCTTCCAAAGCCTGTCTTTGGACCTGGGAGCACTTCAGTCCACTCCCTGCTTTGCCCCAAAATCAAGACTTTATCAGTCCTTCCATGGGTCATCTCCCCACTTCTAAAAGGAGTACAATTTGCTTTGTTTTCCTACCCTCCTGGAAGTACGTGCAAAGATTTCAGATCAGAGGGTGTCCCATGACGATGCTTATTAAGCTCACTGCCGCTGAGAAGGAAAAGGACTAACTCACAGCCGTGGGATGCTGCTTCTCACCCCGTGCAGGTCTTGAGCTTGTGTGACCCCCACCCCAGGAGCCAAATTAACTTGTTAATGGCAGGAAACTAACTGAGGAGGGGAGGGGGAAAAAAAAAGTTTGCTATCTTCTTGTCTGTGCCACCAAGTTGAATGGGAGCAAGGTGGCTCCCAGGGGCTCCAGACCTGGCGCAAAGGATGCGGTGGGATACAAGGCTGGGACTGGTGGGCAGAGGGTCAGGAGCAAGCCAGGAGCTCAGCACAAACTACCTAACTGCTCTGCCGCTCTAGCTAGGACAGTCTCAGCGAGGCACTGCTGCAGCCTGGATGAAACAGCAGACCTTCCTGCTCACCTCTGTACTCAGAGGATGAGGAGATGTTTAAGGCTTCATGCCTTTCTCCCAGGTTCCTGCAGGCCCAGCTTCCCGTACACCTCTTCCCCTCCTGTCTGACTCAGCTCCAATGCTATGCTCAGCTCTTCTGCCTTTCTTTCCTCAGGCAACTCCGTGTTCTCCTCTTCATTCCCACTGAATCCCTTGCTGACCGGTGTCTCCGTGTTGCTCAATGCCCCAGGAGGCAGCACGGGCTCTCCCTGGCACTCTGAGATACGGTGTCCGTCCTACCCGAGTGGAGGGGACTGTATCCCAAACTACACCGTGCTGTAGTCCTCACCCCATGGAAGATTTGGGAGCACATGGGGAAATGGTGGGAAGACTAGAAGACTTTTCACTGCTGCAGTAAATGTGCTCCCATCAGCCCAGTGCAGCAGGATCAAGACTTGGGGAGCAGATGTGACTCCCACTATGAACCAAGTCATTTATTCAATGATGAGACAGAGAAGACCTCAAGAACAGAACCCGAACAAGGAAAAAAGCCTGAATGGAGGGAAGCCTTGGCTGCTGTGTTTTAAGGTTCCCCTTTCTGTTTACCCAGCAACCCAAGGAGCCCCAGGCTCATTCAGGTGGGGACCCTGCGCTCTTTCACGAAGAGCTAAGAAGGGTCACGTAAGCTGGGGAACTGCCTGGCAGCCCCAGCGGGCTCTTCAGATTGAAGTGATTTTAGAAAAATTTGGTCTCGCTCCTGGTCTAAGGTTTCATTTCTTAATGTGTGGAACTGAGCAAGCAGCTAGCTGCTAGGACAGGGAAATGCTGCTGCATGGCTCCTTCACAGCACAAAAAGTAGATGTGGAGCAAGTTGGCTGATCCACAGGTGAGCGCAGAGATACAGCCCAGGCTCACACTGCTCATCCCAGAGCTGGGGGACCTCTGGGCAGTGCTGCCTTAGGTGACGCTGATCTGAAAACTGGACATATGGTGAAACCCAATGTGTTGGGTGAGACAACTCGGGTCTGGACACAGCCTGGCTTTGTTGAGCCGCTGAAGCCAACATGGGAGGGGGCTATAAGCATCCCAGACTTCAATATAGGCACAACGCCACCAAGGCAGGAGATGATGTGACATTCCACAGGGCCTGGAGGATGTGCTGACTTGGGTCTCCTGCACCTCAGAGACTCCTGCTCTGCGCGCAGTGGGGCAAAACTGGGCCCTGCCTAGAAGCCCCACAGAGCCAGCACTAGAATTAAGGATACATGGCTTTGCATGTGGTAATTGGATTATTTTGACTTTTATATTCATTGTATACAATTAATAATCTACTACTAAAGACTGAGGTTTGTGGCTTGCAGGGCTCTAGAGTTAGCTGGTTTAGAAGAGCCAGGAGGTCCTATTTTGTGTAAGCGTATGAGGAGCCTGCAGATCGCTGGCACAATTTTACGCTCACATAAAATATTCTGGTGAACTCCAAATCGATTAATCTAAAGCATTTCCTTTTAGCAGAAAATGATGTGATTTCTTTTGTTTGTCCTAAAGGGAGAAACTATAGAAGTTTAGAATTTTCTATGGAAGTACAACTTTAACTTGCAACCAGTTTTTCTTATGTTCTTTCCACTTGCTACAAGTTTTAAATTTCACAGCATCTCTCCTACTTGGGGGAAAAAAGAAAAAAAAAAAATGTTGGTGGAAGGGTAGAAGGCCATACTGAATTGCACTTAACTTTAGAGAATGCCTTTCATTTTTATACATTTCCAAACTGTAAAAAGAAAAATCTTTGATAAGGAAACGACTTTCCCCACCCCCTTGCCTCTGGGTGCCTGAAACTGCAGGACATAACCCTAAACAAAATTGTTTTAAGTGCCCCATACTCTAGAGCCACACAAGGAAACTAATGCTATAAAGTGTCAGACATGGGATTCTTCAAATGCTTGTACACTTAATAAACTACTTTCTTCAAAGCTTTTTAAAGAATAAAGAAAAAAAAAAAGGAACAATTATGTAAGAAGTGCTTTCTGCTCTCCTTTTGGCTGGTCCCAGAGTGGTTCCTCTGCGCCCCGGGGTGCTGCCGGGCTGGGCTGTGGTCCGTGCACCCCTTCCAGCGGGGCAAAGCCGGAGGCCCCGCCGGCTGCCGCGGCCCGGGGTTTT